TGTGGGTGTTGCGAGTGGAATGGGGCATACGGTTGTCGTGTTGTCGGATGGATCGGTGTATGGATGGGGTGCGGCGAGGAAGGGTCAGCTAGGGGAGGCGGCGAAGGGGCAGAAGATTGTTTGGGAGCCGGTCAAGGTTGAGGGGGTGCCGTTTCGAGCGACGGGTGCTGTTTGTGGGCGCGAGTTTACTGTTGTTACGGGTGATAGGAGCAAGGGGGAGTTTGTGATTTTGGGGTCCGCGGATAATAGGTGGAATGTCTTGTCTGGTGCTCCTCCTGCCTTGGGGGCGTATCGTGGTATTTGGGCTAGCTGGCATGGTGTTTATGTACAGCGGGATGAGGGTGTTTTGGCTTGGGGGCGCAATGACCGTGGTCAGCTTCCGCCGGCGGATTTGCCGGTTGTGAGAGAGTTGGCAGTGGGAAGCGAGCATGCTCTTGCTTTGCTTGGTGATGGGATGGTTGTGGCGTTTGGTTGGGGCGAGCATGGGAATTGTGGGCCTGCTGCGGATGAACAGGGGAATGTGAAGGGCAAGTGTGGTTTGATTCCTCTTCCTACAGAAGGGGAGTCCCATGTTGTTGGTGTTGGGGCGGGTTGCGCGACTAGCTGGGTTGTCATGTCGTGATCTGCGGATGGTCTCGCAGGAAGAGGAGGCGAATCCGTCAACTCCATTTCGGGTACTGATTGATGGGCCATGGCTGACGACCTTCACCCGATCAATATGTGTTGGAGCAGAACTCGGTCCCCTCAGTCGAAAAGACCAAGACCCTGAACCTACGAAATGTTAGCCCGGTTTTTGTGGTGGAGCGGAATCCTCTTACCTGTGATATACGTTGCGTCGGGGGTAAACCCATATCTTCCTCATGACTTGTATCTTGGGGAGGCATACTGGGCTCATTATCTCGCAAGCGGGGAGCGAGACTCTCGTCAAACGTCTGCTGGCTTTGATCAGTAATGAGCTTGAGCAGATCCGTTCTATCTGCCATACCTGATCGCCAGTTGCATCCCATCCGAGTCTGTCCTCGGCTTCTTCCTCCTCTTCGTCGTTCGGTACATCCCATTGCCTATCATCATCTGCTGGTACGAACAAGCTGTCGAACTGGATGGATGCAGGGGGCGGCCGCTGGCTTTCGGTGGTCGTCCCTGTGCCACGAACAGAAGCCCCCGGAGTCCCGGTGAGCGGACGAATGGATCGCGCGCGGGGCGGAGGCATATGGTTCGTATTAGAAGTGACGTTCACTCGGCTGACATTAGCCGGAGCAGGCGTATGCCTTGCTGATAATTCTGGTGCATGAGATGAATCTGGGATATCGCTATCGGAGTCCCCTGTGGTCATCAGAGTGAATTCGGTCTTCACGCCCCCAAAGTCGTATGCAAGCTGCAAGGGTCGAGTTGGGCGTGTGTATCGAGCTGTGATTGTTGAATGTGCAGACTCAGCATGTGCTATTACCGCCTTGAAATCTTTCAAGGTGATAGCAATGTGGAGGTTGTCTTCTGCCAAGAAATATTCAAAGTCCTTTTTGTCGATAGCCACCGATGTATGTACCGGCTTCTTGAGGATTTCTGTGGGATGTTAATTAGCGCAGTACTGCAACGGTTAATGGATGTATCCGACCTTTCCCATTGGTAATCTTAGTAGTGAAGCTAGTGAAAACAGCCTTGCCGTTATCAGAGCAGATATCCAACTGCTCTGCAGAGGGGCTGAAATGATCTGTTATCTCTCTTAGAAATCTAGGTTCTATGCTCCACTGATTTGTCGTTTTCGTTCTGTCAAAGACAGCATGGTTAACCGTAGTTGGTTCATAATTGAGCTTATAGGATTTGATGACTCCTAGTATGATAGTCAGAGTAAACCCAGAGAAAGATTACTTGGTCGCTGTTAATTCCTTACCAAGTCCACAAATCATCTTAATAGCGAGTCTGCATTCAGTTTGGTCCCGGTGCTCATGCAACTCAACCTCGCAACGTTCAACTGCGGTATCCTTGTCTCTGGTTCTCCCCTTGAAGACCGAGAGCAATGCCTTATGAACGTTAGTGCCAAGAACAAATACTAAACGCAGTCCTTGGAAGTTCTCTCACTTTAATGTACAGTTGGAAACAGAATCTATCGGGACGGGCAGCCCCAGATGCTCTACTGCCTCGTGGCATATCAAAGGAGTAGGACTCGAAGAAGGTGTCCGCCTCGAAAACAAAGGCGGAATATGCCGTTTTGGTAGAATTGAGCACACTCAGACGAAGCTGGGCTTTCCAGTCAGTTCAGATATACTCTAAAGATACATAATTCGAACAACTCCAGGGCACTGACCAGATCGAACTCGGCCTCGATGGCTACAGTCTCATGGAACTTGGCCAGGCACGTCAGTGCATCGTGCAGCTGGTACAGCGCCTCGGGGGCGAGGGAAAATGATAAGGCGACCATGTCTCTTCAGTGGTAATATTCTGTCTGCATTTACTAGTCTCTATGCCAATCACTGGTATTATAAAAACTTATAGTAAAAGACGAGGAGTTCTGGACTCGGACCAGTTGCATGAAATCCAAAACACGAACGCGGGCTTACATAAGCCGTACTGAACTTCATCACGGAGCGCGAAAACATGCTCTAAGTTTACATTGTCCAGAACCTCGATTTAATCCGCCGTAAGTTCGTCTATGTAGGAGCCGTGTCGAACTTATCATCGCCACTGACTGACCTCTTCATGTCAAGATGACCTTCCCGTTAGTTGGCGATGTTCTCTATATCATTCTTAACATCCTCGCGGACCAGCGCGACTACAACAGCTTGTATCAATGTGCCATAACATCCCGATGCTTCACGGAACCCGCCTTACAGGTTCTGTATAGGTAGTACTAAGGTGTTGTCGCTGTACATGCCATGGATCATCCACTGATATCTAATATCAGGCAGCGTAATTCTTCGACTCTCGAACCTTCTGACTTTCTACCTCGAAGGACGTCTGTGACGTTAGCCGCTATAGATGATGTGCAGATTAACTCGATTCGCAAATGGGCTAAGATGTGGCGCTCCATAGTGATGTCTGCCTTGGAGTATACGTACTTGCCTTATTATACTTATATTCACTATCTGGACCTTGAAGGCCTGGAGTTCCTGCTTCGTGTGCTGTACTATGAAGATGAAAAGGAGTAGGTCAGCGCTGTCACTAGATGACGCTTGTCCCTCTAACGATGTATAGAGCATTCTTTACCCCAGAGATTGATGATTACTTGTCTCATGAGTATGGGATGAAAGGAAACAGGCGGCTTCGTTCCTCTTCCAAGTCATTTGATAAAGATTTCGTTCTGTTCACAATCAGCGCAGGTCAGTTTAATCTTGTCTTGGTAAACCTGCGTTATTCACCCTCTAGCTCTATAGTAGTTCTGTGTGCCGCGTTGAGCTAATAATAGCAAAGCAATTGTCAAACGATTAACTTCGATAAGGGGAATGGCCTGCAATGGTAGGTCATACTATGACAACCCAGCGCAGTAGGGCGTGCCTGACAGCCCTACAGCTTATCCAGTGCAACCCTCCATGCTTGAATTCCTTCAACGGTTACCCTCTCTGCAAACGTTGAGAATCTGGTCCGGCTCTTGTCTCACGGATCATGTAGTAGACAAGATTCGCAATCACTGCCCCGACCTCAAAAATGTCATAATTCGCGGATGGTATGGCCCTGTACGATACCTCTTGGCCAGTTCTACTTACAAGCATCCACTACTAGGTATTCAGAATCTCCTATTGATGGAGATGCGACCTTGGAAAATCTTCTAAACAAGCTGCGGCCTAATACTCTGGAGCATTATGAAGTGCTTAACTGTTCCCAACAAGGACCCCGCTCGATCAGGGCCCTGAGCTCACATTGGGACTCACTAGCAGTACTCAGTCTGGATAGGCTGAGGACTACGGCAGTCGCTGAGCTAGTCTCACTATCCGCACCACCAGCATTGAAAGTCTTAGCATTATCAAACACAGTTTGGATCCGCGATGAAGCGCCTCCCCAGCCTATAGACCAAGTGGCGGATTGGATACGCCGCTGTAAAACCCTACAGCAGCTGGAACTTGTGCACTTCACGGATGACGACCCATTTCTACTCGCAAAAGTCCTCCCTGAGAAGAGTCTCCATCTATCGAGCCTCTCATTAAAAGACTACTGGATACACACGGCAAGTCCCTTCCATGAGGCTCTGCACCAGCACCCATCACTACAATATCTGCACCTGGACGGCCAAGGAAGCGACGAACCTGAGCACAACGAATCCCTCATCCAGGGCATCAGCCAACTACCCAATCTCCGCGGACTAAAGCTCGAAGGCGTATCGAGCGGTTTCATCATGGAGGACTTTATGGCACTAACACCCCATCTGCCCCATCTTGAACGACTCTGGATCGACGGCAAATACTTCTGCAACAGAATATGGAACGCATTCCTCTGTCTTCCCAAGCTCAAAGGCCTCACCATCGCCGGCCGCAGTGCATTCAAAGGCAAGGGCATTCTTGACTTCATCGACCAGCTGGGACCGGGGAACAGAGGCTTCCGCTTATCCATCTTAAAGTCCACGGACGACACGGATATTAACGATATAACAGAGCATTTTGTCCGCGATCATCTGGGATCTAAACTGAATGGATACTTCGACTTTGACTGGGCAGAAGGTGGGTACCCTTTTTTTTTTTTCTTTCCCATTGTCTCTGCAATGCTGGAGCTTGGTCCTGATCCACTGACGATCTCTTCCAGAAGAGGAGTACGAGACGGAAGAGGAGGCAGATTTTGATGACGACATGTCCGAATGAAACTATCTATGACAAGAAAGGCAACTATACCCAGTAGCACTCAGGAATAAGAGCTGATGACCACCATTTATTTTCTATTACGTCAACAATTCCTACACAGTATAATACCTTGGCGTCCGTGGAGATCGTACGATTCTAGAAAATGTGCGAAATGTCACTTAGTCCGAAATGGTCACCGTTGGGCCTGGAGACTCCACATTTCTATGGGGTTGGAAGCCCGCACCCCCATAGCACTATTGTATTTTAGCGATCCCATGGCACTTGGCGGGCCGCGAAGTAGACCAGTTTGTTGGGGTTGGTCGTACGTCGTACGAGCAGGTTTGGGTTCTATGACCCACTGAGGGGGCTATATTGTGTAAATAAGGTGGCTGGGAGTGGGTGTAGTTTTGTGTGTTGGATATTGATGAAGATATTGTACTTGGTAGGGCTGGTGGGGTTTGTCTAACTAACTATACTCCGGAGTGCTCCGTATGTTAGTAATTTGATTTTTAGCAGGTTTAATACTCTGTTAGAGAAATTCATTAATAATAGGTGGTTTTTTAATCAATAATGGAAAGGCTTTATTCATATCGAAAACAGTTGTATTAACTAAACGCTTTGAAAGTAGGGCCAGCTAGATGTGAACACCCAAGTAACTACAGCTAAATTATAATCTATATCGAAAGACATCAAAACCCCGTAACCAACGCCGAAGACCCACAATGTTGGAAAAAGATGGCTTTCATGGTCAGCCTCTGCATCCGCTTGCACATGGGTTGACTTGTGTATTGCCATGGTGTTGTTCGAGAGTAGAAGAATTGTTGTGTAAAATCGCCTGAAGCTGCGGTATTGATTGTCGACCTTGGATATAGATCTAAACATTCAGAGTAATGCATTCCTCGAAGAGACAGTTCCTTATCCGACATCTGCCGTGAAACAAGAGACTGCTGATTGACTGGCTATTGTAGGCCGTGACCTTGGGGTGTCCACCGCCATCGTCCACCGGCTGCGTGACAGCAAACACGTCTCGGCCGACCATCCTCTGTTGATTGATGACTTTGACGACACTTAAGGTCTGGTAAACTGGGAAAGCTCCTTCTTCAGTTGGCTGCAGATCCTGCAGCGTTTGTAACCAGTTTTGGATCTTCAGGCCGACAGAAAGACTTTGGCATCGAAGAATCCCCGCCAGTAGTAAGCCTGAGAACCCGATTGTATAACTGTTTCTGGTAAGAGACGTCCGCATCTCTGTACCTTGCGCTATCTGTACTAAGGTCTGCGCCCAAAGCTCCGTTTGGTAGCATTCACCTTCGTAGCCTGAAGTGGACTGATTGCATAGTTCTTGCAAGAGACCAGTACACTGCATTATACGCGCTACTACATAGTAGGCGTAGTTGAGAGCTGCGTCGTGAGATTGGAAATGGATTGTCGTGCTACTCGTATCATTGAGTCTGTAAATTGGTAGCTCAGATGGCGGAAGATGCAACAGCCACTCGTCTAACTTCGTAGCCTCGTGACATAGGAGGGAAGCGCATTCAGCGTAGCACCGGTTGTTTTCATGTTTGGCCTCTTGTTCGGACCTCATATCCTTGAACTGCTGGAGCACAGCCTTGTAGTTCAGCCGATGTGATTCACACATGATGCTTAGTACCTTGACACGTCGGTCGTGGAGTGTTCGGGGTTCTTCTTTCAGTGAGATGGGTAAGGGGATCGACGGTAGCTGCTGATGTATATCCAACGAGCTGAAATAGGCACGAGCCCACCACACGACGTACCGAGTCTGCATCCATGACCTGAGGAGGGGCTTGATGACCACATCTCCGGCTCCTTCACGCCAGTCAACTAGAAAACTCATCATCCCTTGCACGTGGCAATAAAAGGCTTGAAAATTGCCCATTGCCGATTCTAGGTGAGCGAATAGAACAAGGACAATGAATACAACCGTGGCATTGTGGCGATAGTCGGATGCTTTCATTGTGGCTAGTTTCCTGATCGCCGACGAGTAGTACAAATGACTTCTTGTTTGATGGATGAGATTGGGGCTCAACGGCCCCATCAGCCCGGTGGAAGATGTTCTGCGTTCACTATAGAGACGGCTGATGTTGCAAGAGGACAGAGCCAGGATAGCATCGTTGAGGATGGGATGATCAGCGGTCAACAGAGTGGCAGAGTGGAACATTGGGTGTAAGGCTGGTAAGCAGTTATCCTCCCAATACGTGGTGTAAAAGATATCTCTCTCTGTTACTTGCAACGATTTGGTTATTCCATGGCTTCCTATCCGGGGGCCACCTTGTGTAGCTTGGATAGCAAGCCTCTCGTTGCCAGCCAACCATTGCCTCTCTGTGGATGGAGTGTCATACGAGGATGATACTCTGTTTGAATCCTGCACCGTTATGTTCTGAAATTTGAGCACAGGCTGGACATATTCACAGCGCCTGTCCAGTCTTGCGCAGGTTCCGCATGTTGGCTTCTGCTCATCACACTTTACGCAATGTTAGCACCATGATAATCGCAATTCTATACAGCAATTCAACCTTTGTTCTTCGATCACGACAGCTCTTACAGCCATTGCGCGAACGTATTATGTTTGTCTTTCTTGGTCTAGGCGGTGCAGGTTTGTACATATGGCATACTAATTGTGGTGTGTTCTGATGCT